GCGAGAGCTCCTGCCGCGGCCCCTACCCTTCTCAAGTCCCTTTGGCATCATCGGTCCCCGGCGTCCCGTAGCAGGGCCGGGGGGTCTTTAAATCCCCACAGGATTTGGGCAGCGCCCGCGTTTCGCAGGGCTTTTAGCGCTGCCGTGCCTGGGCGCACGGGGGTTGCCAGCCCCCAGCCGAAGACGTGCCAGATTTAAGGGGAAAATGGATGGGATGTTAGCGTCCCTGTGCGGAGCGCAGCTTGCTTGGCGTTGAACTGGGCATCCCTTATGTCAAGCTTTCGCAAAGATAGCAGAATAATAAGGTCGGAATGTCCCTACCCTGATTTTTTTGCCCATTCATTTGGGCTTTGATGACAGGTTGCTTTTCAATGCGCCTCCTGTGGGGCTTTTTTTAGATATTGTTGGGTAAAGAAGAAAAAATCCCAGGTTATTTACTTCACAGGGTAATTAATATTGGTGCCCTAAGTGGAAAAGTAGGGGTTAGAATTAGTCAGTCAAGTGCGCTGGCAAAGGGCGAGGTAGGAGGAGTCCTGCAGAGCCAGGAGAGACCGGACCTTTAGGTTAAGGATATTTTTTATGTCCTCAGGTCGGACTTATTTTAGACTTCTGTTTTCTTACTCCACTTTGCACAAAATTCAGTGACATAACCCTGTTATGCTCAGAAAAAAACCCGGAAAAAAAGCATAATGATCTGTTTCCCTGAACTCCTGCTCATTTTCTGAGCTTTTTTCCTTCATAGGGTTGTGTATCAACACATTCTCTGTCTGCTCATTCAGTTGTGTTCCTCAGCCACTTCTCAGCTGAGGTGCATGGAAGGAATTTCTTTCTCTTTTTATTTGATTAAGCAGTGATCGCTACATTTTAACAGATGATCCTTAAACTAACAAATGATAGTAACAGGACTTGCCATGAAATGTGTGTGCGTGGAATGGCATGGACAGAAATTGATAGGAAAAAAGAGAACGGTAGAAAAACACATAAATAACATTGGGAGGCAAGGCTTGTGAAAGGGTTGTCGTGCTTTTTTTTTGTAAGTATTTGGATTTACAAGGAGTAAGGTCTTAATTTCAGAAAGCAGCACTGTTTTTTTCTTAGTTTTTAATGTTTTCTCAAGAAGAAGAAAGATCTGAATGGTTTGTGACAGTACAATAATTGAAATCCGGTGCTTAGTTTAAATATGTTTGTCTGCAAAGCGCGCAGGAAAGAATTAAAAGTTGATTTAACACAAATTATTTGGATTCCTGCATGCCAGGCTCAAGTGAATTTTTTCAAATTATAAGTGAAGGGAGTTCTTGAAATGCTGAGGAAAACCCCGTTATTTTCAAGGCAGCTTTTTTTTTTAGTATGAATTGTTTCTCAAGTGCTTTTGAAATATAAATTACCATGATTAAGAAGAGATGAACTGCACTTAATTTTGATATACATTTTCTCCATATTTACTCTTCTTTTCTCTGTACAAGAGAATATATACTAATTGATGCATTTTATTCCTCTGCTGTGGAGCCGAAATACACCACGCACTTTTAGTTTGGGTTGCAAATATTGGGCTAGAATCTCACAGTGTTTAATCAGGCGAACCTCAAATGGGTTGCAGAATTGGGTCCATTATTTCCTGAGAGCAGCAAAGGAAACAGCAGACTAGTAGGAAATGTAAAAGAAAAAAAAAATCAAATTTTTATAGCCAGGCACTGTGTTGCTTCAACCATCCCAGCTATTGGTGAACTACATTAACTTTTATGACTAATGGATAAAAACAATTAGATTAGCAGCCTCAGCCTTGCCTTCCTACAAAAACAGAAATACCACGTACTTTTTCTCTTACATGTTTGCAAATTTAGGGATATGTTGTACCACCCACTTTTTTTAGGAGAATGTTCTACCACAGATAAGCCTTAAAACTACTAGTTAGGCAGCAACCTTGAAGTATTAGCTGACCAGAAATATGCTTCAAAGGCCCAGAGTTGAGTAAGCAAAACCGATGTTTGCAAGTCCTAAGTAGCAAACGCTGTGATTTGAGTTGTTCCTCTGACATGCACTGCAGATGCTGTTTCTTTTAAAATAAATATCATTTTTAATATTATGCATTTGATAATCTCATTTACCCTTCATGAAAATTTTATGGCACAGTTGCACGCATACAGAGATAGCTTTAGAGCCATAAACTGTTTTCATTCTGCTTATCTAATTCTCATTGACACCTATGTATATTAAGCAGCAGATGTAGGGCAGCTTGAGATGGCTCCTTCTCTCACTGACACCAGTATAAATTTGAGTTGCTCCCGTGACTAGATGAGAGCAGCTCCCTAATACCCAATGCTTAGTCGATCCCCCATGCATATTTCTTGTTGTAAGGCAAAGACTCGAGGCTAATTTATATGTCCCCTGTCCAGGCAAGAGTGGGAGTCGGGTGTCCAACTGAGCTCCATGAAATGTGGGAAAGGTTTTAGGAAAGGAGTTCGCGAGGGCCTGGGCCACGGCCTCGGCCCGCTGGGCTTGTTGTTAACGTTCCCCTTTGCCCTTGCAGATATGCCCTGTGTGCAAGCGCAGTATAGTCCTTCACCGCCCGGTTCAAATTATGCAGCTCAGACCTACGCGTATGGCTCGGAGTACAGCTCGGAGATCATGAACCCTGACTATGCCAAGCTGACCATGGACCTGAGCAGCACCGAAATCACTGCCACTGCCACCACCTCCCTTCCCAGCTTCAGCACCTTTATGGAGGGTTACTCTGGCAGCTACGAGCTCAAGCCTTCCTGCCTCTACCAAATGCAATCTGCCTCCTCCGGCCAGAGGCCTCTCATAAAGATGGAAGACACGCGGCTCTCCCCCTAACAGCCCTCACTGCCCCCACCCCCGGA